TTTTTCTTCTAACACTCCTGATAGAAATATTTCATCTAGACTGTGACCCTGTTTATTTTCCAAAACCCTGTCTTGTACATCGCACCAGTCAGAACTTCTGTCTTGCAGGGTCTGTGCCAACATGATGTTGGATCTATATGACCCCAATTTAGCAAACTAATGAAGGCGCAGACTCAGGAATAAAAAAATAAGTGAGTTTATGTACTAAGTGCAGGAAGTGTCCTGGGCTGTAAGAGAAAAAGGAACAAGGTGAGTATGAGTAGCTTTCAGAGTTCTTCATGGTGGAAAGTTGTTTGTGGTTAATATTCTTACTTCTGGTTATTATGCAGGTCGTGTTGGAGAGGCAGGAGAAAACATGGTACTAGGATTTCAAGGGTAGACAAGATGTGATCCAGAAGAGATGAGTATTGTCGGAAAGAGTGACGGGTTGAAGGTGCTTGGTGGTTTGGGTCCAGGCTGATGTTTGGCGTTTGTAGGAACAGAACAATGACAGGGCGAGGTCACAAGGAGCGAGGAGGTTTCAGGAGACACCGAGAAGCAGAACTTGAAGGACACAAAAGAATTACAAATATTAGTAAATTTTTCACAAGGAAGGGTTTTTGGTTATCACTCAAGTTACCGAAGTATCATAATGTTCCAGCGTCGGATGAATACCTGCCAGGAGTTTATGTATTTGCACAGCAAAGCAGTCTTCAGGATCAGGTGCAGATGTGGAAATGTGTGGGGAAAGTAATTACGTCTGGAAAACTAGGAATCCTACAAAACTGTGTCAGTGGTCAGAACTTTGAGGGTGACTTTATGTGTAGAAGCAGGTGTAGGATCATTTTCAGAGAAGCAGATCTTTGCAACCGTTTCAGAAAAACATGGTCAAAAACACTTACAGAAAATTTGTGCATGGAGGAGGCAGAGCACTGTCCATGAGTTGAAGCACTGGCTTGTCGTCGTTATCTGCATCGTTTTTATGTCTATATTCTGATTTACTTCATTTTGTATATTGCTTTGTGTGTTACCTGTTGTTCTGTCTGTACAGCACTTTGGTTGGCCTTGTCGCTGTTTTAAGTGCTCTATAAATAAAATGGTATGGTATGGTATGGTATGGTATGAGGGAGTGCATCTTGTCTGACCAGTGTAGGGACACCTTCCTGCACTGTTAGAAACTGGCAGTCTCCTTGTGTCAAATTTACAAAACCAACTTTTCCTTAGCGAACTACTTTGGATGAATAAGTGGTTCTAACTTCTTCTGCGTTTTCTTTAACTAGAATACTGTATAATGGGTTATGGGAACTAACCCTGTCAACTACCCAACCAGACATCTCTCATTCCCTCGTTAGCTTCTGGGCCAGGATTCAATGCCAGCATGAGTGTCTCTTTTATCTTCCTGTTTGGTAATATTCTCCATTATTTTATTTGACTTGTTGATGGCCAGAAACATAATTTTTCTGATGATTTTAAAGCCAGCTTTTTCTTTATTTTTTTCCTCTTGCAAATTAAATGATTTTTACTTGTAAAATCTTTTAAACAATGTTTTAGTCTACTATATAGTCTACTACGCTGCTATAGATCCTCCATCTTCCTGCACAGATGGAACTCTAAGGATAAGTTTGGTTCTGCGGGGAAACCTTGGATGTTCTCAGACTGCCGGACCCGGTTCTGGACTGCGATCTGTGAGGGCAACCGCAGCAGTTGTTATTACCATCAAGCTGCTGACCGGACCTGCTAACAAGACCTGCTCATGCTGCTAACAAGATCCTCCATCTGCCTGCACATGCAGTATGGACCTGTTCAGTTCCACGGTGGAAACCTGGGATGTTCTCTGTCTGCTGGGCCCGGTTCTGGATTGCGTTGTGTGAGGGCAGCTGCTAACAAGACCTGCTAAGCTGTTAATAAGACCACGCCGCTAACAGAACAGAACCATGATGTTGAAAGAACCTCGCTGCTAACTGAATTACACTGTAGATGTATTTCTTTTTCAACTTTGGCACCTTGTTTTTTAGTATTTTAGTAGTACTTTTAGTATGGTTTTAGTAATTTAGAAGTGTTTTTAGTATTTTAGTAGTATTTTTAGTACATTTTTATTATTTTAGTATTATTTTTAGTATGTTTTTAGTATTTTTGCTGAATGCTTTAGTATTTCTTGTTTTTTTTTTTTGTTTTTTTTTGGCAGGTCTAGATGGTTCTTCTCATTCTAAGCATTTTATTGCATTGTTGACCTTGTGTTGACTTTACATATGACAAATAAACCTAACCTAACCTGCACTACTATTGTCAAAGTTGTTGAAAACAATTTTATTCCCATCCTTCAGTAATTTTCTTGCTAAAGAAATTAAAGATAACATTTTTCGTGTTATTGCAATGGCGAAGCCTCATCAAAAATGCAAAATATCCTTAGCAACACAACAGGATAATGACCCTCTTCACTCCCACTGAGAGATCCAAGCCAAGACGGTGAGATAAATGGGCCGAAATCATCACATATATGGCACCAGTTCTGCACCTCTGTGGATGCTATCAAAAGAGAAGTGTTCAGGAGTAAACACTGGATTGTTCTGATGGATAGCAATTGCATTCTGCTTTCCCCAGCCAGATTTTCAAGCTCACTGCTTCTGGCAGAGTTTATATAGCTTTTGCGTTGGGATTAAAAACTAAATAAATATATATTTTTAAAAAAGCACATTAATACAATCTGCATCTTTTGTCTGAACCACAGATTTGTGGTACCCCAGTGTTCACGCTTTTGGATTTGTAAGAAAAGAAGAAAAAAGCACCTGAAATGCAGACCTATTAGAAACCACTCCCTGAAAGATGTTTAGTGATGGTGCTCACTCCAACACTGACAGACACCAGTTACTGTTCCATTTATATTCAGACATAAATCACCTCCTTATCCCCCGTCAACAACAGCAGAATAATAGCCCCAGCGATGTGAAAAACAAAAAAAACAGATTTGAAGAAGCAATGAATAGATGGAAAACTACAAAAAAAAACATGAGTTTGTGCATCTTTCGTTGTAAAGACTCCTAATATTTGATTAATCGGACAATTATTGCAGATATATTTCCTTGCAAGGATAGCACACTTACTATAGATTCAAGTGTGTACAGAATATCTAATTTTAGATCCTTTTGTGTCGCACAATTGGCAACTAATATGTACAGCGGCGTGTTATTTTTTTTTAATCAGCACATCGTAATTGTCTTTTTTCTCAACAGGCAGACGGAAAACTGAAGGCTTCAGAAGATGCATCTAGATTTACGTATGAAATGAATCTAGCGTTGTGGTAATTCATTCAAGTGTCTGTTTTATCAATTATGAGAAAAATTTGAGTTGTTTTAACACGTTTATTGTATTTTTTAAATTATGTGCA